AGAGAAAATATAAATGATAATAGTTTAATGAGTTTCTATGAATGAGACGCAACCGGAACAACAAATCACTCTTTTTCAAAACAAACACCAGATTTTGTAAACACATATAATGGTCGCCGAAAACCTACAAAGAAATTCATTTTTACAAATCAAAACTTACAACAAAACAAATTACGAAATCATACCTTTGGATGGGTTTTCGGGCGTCCCTATTAGCTCTGATTGGCTAAAACCCACTTCCCGTGAAAGCAGGTATTCATTGAACTGTTCGGGTCTGAACTTAATTGCATTAAAATTTTTATGAATCGTTTCCTAAGGAATAGAAAATAAATAGACAATAAATAAATAGTAAAATCAAATGATTTCAATGAAAACATACATTAATTTTCTTTTTCTTCTTATATGAACAGAAGGGTTGCGCTTCTAATACGAGTTTACCGTTGGGTCGGAGTTGAGAAAAGATTCGTTTGAATAAAGTCTTGACTCCATTGTCGCCCCAATTCAAGTGAACCCATTTGGTAAGACTTAAGCAGACAATTGTGTCGAACTGTTGCTTTTGAATACTCGACGGCTCATCGCATTCCGACACATAGTTTCCAGTTATGAAACACACATTTTGGGGGAAACACTGCTTATCATCGCTTGAATCGTGTGCTGCGGTTGAGGCCAATGGCCCGTGAAATAGAGGTAATGAAATGGGAAAGTCTTGTGTCCGAAGAACACTGGATGTGATGTAATGCCTAATGTTTTTATTAGCAATTCTAATGAGAGAGTTATCGATATCCAAACCAATGATCTTTTTTGGCTCAAAATTCTTGGCAATCGCTAGCGTTATGTGTCCGACATTGCATCCAATGTCCAGAATGTCTTTGTTTTGAAACCACTCTCTCTTAAGGCATTCGAGACGAGAATCAAATTGATTGGCATTTCTATAGCCATAATATCGGTTATAATTTCCGTAACGAAAGCTCTCGTCTTTAGCTCTAAAGTGAGGTGTTTTTGATTTGCATTTATTCTTGTTTTTAATAATTGGTTTCACTTTTGTTTCATTATTGTCTGCAAATGACTCCAAATTGAGAACTGCTTTTGAATTGATGTCCGCAAAGCGTCTGTGCTTTGAACCAATCCCTTGAGGAATAACTGGAGACACAATCTTATCGATGGTTTTTAAGTTATCATTGATTCGAAGTTTCGCGAGTTTGGGAGTGGTTTCCACCTTAATCTTCGGTTCAGTAGTCGTGTCCTTAACTGTGTCTTCAGATTCAACAACAGTTGGCTCTGCAGTGGTCTCAGAGTCGGTTCGCTTTCGTTTCCTTTTTCTCGATTTGGTTTTCATTTTGGGCGAAATGATCGCCGATTCGTCGATATCTCCCGAACTGTTCAAATTCAACGGATCGTTAATATTGGCCGGAATTAAGACCTCGACCTGAGTCTTGTGTTTGGGAGTCGGAAGTGGCGACGACTGAGGGGTCACTTGATTGGCGCCGTTGGCCAGACTCGAGAGGTTCAACGGGTCGCAGATGTTTCCGCCCAACAGGAACTTTGTCGGCAATATTATCCGATCTTTGCGTCTCTTCTGATTCAAAAACTTTTGGTCAGCGTTTGCGCCGAAAGAATGCCTTCTTTTGCGGTAATTATTGCTATCACTTCTCTTGCGTCCCAACGGCGGCTCATTTGACTTCCCGTACGAAACCGTTAGACATCTCTTAATACATTCATTCGGCAATTCATTCAATGCCTTCAGTTTCTGATTATCCTTTGATCTCATGTTGGCTTTGGTTGAGGTCTTCGGCACCTCAAAGGGGGTGTCGTGTGGGGGCGTCACGAATGTCACGCCTCCCGACGCCATCACTTCAATACACTTCCCAACACTTGTCTTCAATATAGCAATGGATTCAATGGTCAATAATGTGCACAATATGTGCCAAAACACGTCAATTCAGACCAAAAAACAATTTGAGAAAATGTTTGTCTCGTTTTGGCGTTAGGTTTGCGTTGTTTCGCACAACACATGAACGACACGTGACTTTGTTTACAGTTTTGATGTTTGAGTGAATCGACAATCGATTCAATGCTTTCTATCGCCTCTAATATGGCGTCTATTTATTGATTACTATATTCTATGACTAATTCACTGCACAATTGAATGCATTACACCTTTTGGTCGCTATTTATACACTAAATAGCGTTCAAACCTTTTAAACAAGTAATAAACGGATCCATAAAGTGATGCATACCTCAGATTGTGGTCACGACTGGGCGTCAGTTGAGTCAGAGTTCGACTCCAATCCTCGAAATCAGCGATTCTTTCACTGAAGCACTCATTTTATAGCAAACTTTGGCAACGGATTGGCTCTCAAACACCGCTTCACTCATTACACCACAGATGGCACTCAACTCTACACACATTCACACATCACGTACTCAAAGGCATTAAACTATGGCTGCAATTATTGCATTACTTTTATACCGTTGAGTGACATAAGGGGGCAAAACATGCAAATATACATTATATGTGAATATATGATAGAGTAGTATATATTGTGAGGTTATATGAGTGTAATAATTGTGGATCAGATGAGGTGATAGGTTGAGCCGCTATGATCTATAACCTGCATATCTTCGACGGCAACGGTTTGTGTCGGTTCTCACTGAACAAAGAGGAGAGCGAAGACGCGACTCGACTGCTGTACGGATTCCTATACTCGTTGAAGTCGTTTACGGCCAGAATTGGTCCCATTCTTCGGCGCGACAATGACTTCTTGACGTACTCTACGAACGCATATCAACTCATTTTCTACGAAATGCCCACTTCTGTCAAGTTTGTACTACTCGTGAGTCCCGACGCCACCAAAAACAACGAGTACTACAAACAACTGTTGCGAGACATGTATCGTATCGTTTATGTCGAGTATTACGTCAAGAATGTCATCAAAACTGATTCAGTCATCGATTCGCAACTGTTTCGCGACAAACTCATTGAGTTCTTCAGCAAAGTGT